GGCAACAAGGATACACAGAATGACAGCCGGAGAAAAAAAACGTGCTTCCAAATAAAACGAATAATAACTTTACGGAGAAGAGAGAAGGATAAAGAGAATTTGAAGAGAAGGAGATCGTCGCACTTTGGACCCTAGTATGGTGCCGTCAGTAGATGGCGAAAGTTCGAACGGTAAAACCGCGGATTTTGGGCCCTGACTGTGGCACCCGACGGTTGTCTAGAAAGCGCAGCCATTGCCTACCTTGAGTCCGGTATCGGAGGCGATTGCACAGAGGAAACTCGGTCGGCTGTTATACTGATGTATACAGTCGATCCTGACGTAGAGTTGATTGGCTGTGGGGCCCGACGGTTGTCTGGAAAGCGCAGCCCTTGGCTACTTTGAGTCCGGTATCTGAGACTATTCCACGGAGGAAACTTGGTCAACTGTTAAGAGGAGTGTTCTGATAGCTCGAGACCCAGTTACGTAGCGCAAGGACATCGCAGAGAAGGACAGCGCAGCACCAAGACATGGACATCGTAGCGCAGAGACATTACAGAGCAAGTACAGCACAGAGCAAGGACATCGACAGATCAGAGCGTGATGTCTACAGCAGGACGCCGCACGCAAGACCGGCGAGGAGGCACCCATAATCCGGGCACGATTCAGGTACGACTGCAACAGTCTTGAGGGAAGGCTAAGGTGGATCGTTCGTCTTTCACTGGGCGTTCGCAATAGGTACTGCTGGCGTAAGCCGGACGGTTGCCAGGAGCGTCAATGGGAACTAAGTGAGCGTCTGGTTATTGCCTTGGAAGCTCAGCGCCTGTTCTCCCTGGTCTGAAGACAACTCACCTCTTCATCTCTCACGAGTCGTGGCAGAATTATCCGAAGCAAGGAAAACCACCGAGAGCGGAGGACTGCGAGAAGCATCGGCGCTAGATAAACAAGCACACCTCATAACTTGAATTCTAAATTGTTACTGTTGACCGGTCGGTCACGTTTTCCTATAAATTTGGTGCGAAGAACGCGCAAATCTACTGAACAAGCGGCATGACCTTCGTAGCGAGCAAACATAGAAAAAACTGTGCGTTTCAGCATTTAAGGACTTATTTACACGGACCTCTTGACTACCAGTAAGACGCAGATCGGATGCAGCAAACGGCTTCAGTGCAGACCTTACACTCGGACATTTTTACGTGGCTGCCAATTTTGGACAAGCCAATCCCAACCGTATATTCTGGTCTGCTACCTGTCAACATTGACCAGGTATCTAAGTCGCATGCCGCTATAAGTCGTTTCAGCAACTATCCATCATCGGGATCCGTTTCCAGCTCTGGATCCCATTTCACTACCAGAAAGACCTTATCAAATGCAGCAGATGGCTTCAGTGCAGACTCTACATCCGGACGTACACTCGTGGCTGTTAATTCTCGACCGGAGGATCCCAACGCGTTCTCTGGTCTGCAGCCCATCAAAATTGACCAGGCATCTATGTCGCGTGCCGCTGCAGTAGCCTCCGACGATGATCCTAATGCAACTGCTTGTCGCCAATCTAAAAATTATGCTCAGCACTCTAAGTTCATGGCGGCTCCATTGGATGGTGTCTTGCTGGCGGCAGTTAAACCTTTAGTCCCTTTAGCTGAGTAACGGGAATCTAACAGTTGAGGTACTCGACTATAGCGTTCTTCCTTTTTTTTTTGATTTGGATGTACCCTAGCGTTACAAGTTTAAGACACTTATGAATTAATAATAGTGACTAGCGCTACGTGTTGAGATTTATAGATAATTTAAAGCTGACAATTTTTTCTTAAAGTACTGAGTAGGTATTCCTCATATTTGTATACCCGTTACTCGTTGAGTAGTAGGGTATACTAGATTCGTCGGAAAGTATGTAACAGGTAGAAGAAATCGTTTCCGACCCATAAAGTATATATATTCTTGATCACGATCACTAGCCGAGTCGATCTAGCTATGTCCGTCTGTCCGTCTTTCCGTCTGTCCGTATGAACGCTGAGATCTCGGAAAATACAAAAGCTAGAAAGTTGGGGTTTGACATGGAGATTCCTGAGCTTCTTGCGCAGCGTAAGTTTGATTCGTCAGTGTGCCACGCTTACTCTGATGCCCACAAACCGCCCAAGACTGTGGTTCATACAGTTTTAGTGCTAGAATAAAAATTTGAAATGTATTGTTCTCATAAATACCTATCGATTGACCTAAAAAAAGTTTGGCCACGCTCACTCTATTCAAAAATTTAAACATATACGAACGTGGATATCTCGGAAAATATCAAAGATAGAGATTTGGGATTTCAGATTTAGATTTTGTAGCCTTGTACGCAGCGCCAGTTTGTTTCGCGAATATGCCACACCCACTCTAACGCTCACAAACTCCCTTAAACCTGTGTATCCTACAATTTTCATGCTAGATACAAAATTTTAACTGAAATGTATTAGTCTCATCAATATCTATCGATAAATCCAAAATACGTTTGCCCCGACCACTTTAACCACAAACCAACTAAACCTGTGGCGCTCACAATTTTCATGCTAGAAAAAACGTAAACTGAAATGTTTTAGTTTCGTCAATACTTATCGATTGAACCAAAAAAAAGTTTACCACGCCTACTCTTACGACCAGATCGCTTAAATCTGTCTACCGTCCACATAATCATATATTGAGATCGCGGGTAGGTGGCGCATTTCAATCTCGCCTTGCTGCTCCATTTCCCATTGGTCCCTTTAGCTGAGTAGCGGGTATCTGATAGACGAGGTACTCGGCTTAGCGTTCTTCCGTTATATATTAGACTAATCTTTTAGTTCCTCATTTTCTTTCACTTTGATTTTTAACGAATTAGCACTTCTTATTGTTTTGAGATCGTGAGACCGTTCGTTCCACAATCGCACAGCGTTGATGTAAAATTGTCTGTGAGAACAAAAAAACCTTGTCCTTTGACAATTTAAATTATTAGTTCGATTTTAATGGGCACGCACAAGGTAAGTATGCTTATTTGTCATTATTATTTTATTTAGGAAAATTAGTGTTCTAAAATTCATTCATTGTTCTAACGTCAGATCATAAATAGACTGTGCCAGAGTGAAGATGTGTTCCTTTTAAGGAGCAAAGCATGTTTGAAGATAGTATATTGCTCCTTGGATAGCTGTTTATTAATATAGAACGACACTGAGAGTCGAATCCGCGACGATGCTTTCTCAGGATCCTTATTAGCAGTAATTTGTGCCGTAGATTTTCCAATTCTAAAATTATTACAAGATTCACATTAATGCGCTGTGTTTTACAAGCGCGGAAAATCTCTGTGATCCTAGGTGGTGGTGTTAGGCCTAAGGAATAGCATAGAGATTTTTGGATTTTTTTTGCATTTTTGCACTGCCGGCTTCTTGTCGACACTTACAACCAACTCATTCAACCGCGCCATCTCATGTTCCATGTGATCCAAGTTTCTCTGTAGCTCATCTCTTTGTGAATGCGGGTGCTCCACATCCTTCTCCAGAGTATCAATTCGACCAACTAGCTGCTTAAAGTCACCCATGAAAGCAGATAGGCAATCAGTAACACTGTCTATAATGCGTATTTCGACTCGCATGTTGGAAACCATAGTATCTAGGAACATCTGATGAACGGCCAGACGATATATGAGATTTTCTCCTCGTGTTGAACAAGTCATGTAAATCTGGCTGTTGACTGGATTCAGTTGGACCAGTTTATTGCTTTGTTGGATAATCGCTTTGTATTTTAGTTTGCCTTTCGGGTTAAACAGGCGAAATCCCCCATGGTAATAACCTGTTGCTAGGAACCGATCACCTTCATTCTTCAATTCATTGTAAAATTGCATATATTGGGTCTTGGTGACAGAAAATCGCGGCAAGCAGTGGCTTGTGAGATCATGCCACTGTTTGCGCTTGCGTTTTTGAAATAAGCATGACGTCAATTTCCATCTGGTATAGAATCAGCGAACGATCTAGCTTGAATTGGGAAATTCTATTTAAATTTCAGAGTCCAGTTCTAAAAGATGAAGGTGAATCAGGAAAATCGTTGAATAAGATTTTTGAATTAAGAAATCAGTACATTGCGAATTGAAGCCACGATCGATCATGCAAAAAAAGAAAGTAAATGTGTCTTGACGTAATGTTAAAGTCTTTGTAAATCAACGACTATTAATAAAATTAAATTGCATGGAGTACTGTCTATTGACGGGGAAATGTTGAAAAATGTTGTGTTTTTCGATCAGCCTTACTCCTGCTTCTAGGGTTAGAATCATATATAGAGCACGACGAACATCGACCCGATCGTAATTGTTAATCTGATGACTCTCACCGATAAAATCCCCGTTTTATGATCATTCCGTATCTATCTCAGCTCGACAAAGCAACAACTAATTATCCAGCTGTGAGGTTTTTATTCCAAGTATATGTCAATGTCATGTATATGTCAATAAGAAATTGCAGAAAGAGGTCTTTCTGAGACGGAAGTCGACTACAGCAATATTTGCGTGCCGTGGGCTTGTGCACGTCAGTTGTTGCGAGTTATAACTAAAATGGTTGTTTTCGGAACAATAGTGGTTGACAAAAATAACCAGTAAGTAGTTAAATTTGTAAGCGTGTATCTTTTAGGATTCCTTTTTTTTTGTATGTTAAAGATATGCCGATAATGATATATGTGGGTGCTAGAGAAATCGCAGAGCGCTTATTCAACATAAGTTGCTTATGTACATGAATTAAAATATTTATGTGAGATCAATAATAGCTTTTAATAGTAAGCAAGGGAGAACGCTACGACGAAGTAGGCGAGATGCTCGCAACACCCGCTCCTTCGTGGGACCTACGAGTGCGGGCCTAGAGCTCAAACTGTTCGGCGATCCTTTTCCGGTGTGGAGTGCACGCCTTCATCGTGTCACTGAAGTGTATTTTTTTTTTTCTGTCAATACTTATCGGTTGACCTATAAAGAGTTTGCCGCACCCACTCGAACTCCACAAACCGAATAAAAATGCCTTAGCAAAAAATATTGACTAAATTTATATATATATTATAAAAATGTTGTATTGTATAAGTTTTCTTACTTTTTACTGTACTTTACAGGCGATTGCCAACCGGTTGGTCTGCTTGACGTCACAGATTGCTACTACGGGTTCCCAATCTCCTTGAGCTTCCCACACTTTATGAACGGCGATTTGGGGCTACAACAAAATATAACCGGTGTAAATCCTGATCCGGAGAAACACTCATCAGCCTTTGTTATTCAACCGGTATGTTTATCTTTGAGCTTTGATAAATTTGGTTTTATTCAGTATTGCGCTCAGCCGACTGTAAAAAATAAAATTTTAATATAAGCCAATTTGTCGATTTACAATAAAGTCGTCGAGTGTCTTTTTAAAATGACTATGCCCTTCAGATGGTGCCAGGTCCAGTCCTAACGGTGCGGAAAAACACTGCCTAATAATTTTGGTGGCTTTTGGGCGTTACAGTGGGTGTGGTAAACAAGGCAACGAGCCACAGCGCTAGCGACATCGCTATAGATTAATGACTAAAAATAAGTGCTTGCGGAAAGTGCTGTTAGCTCGTCGAATAATTGTATATGCGATTTGTATTTTTAGGAGTCCGGCCTGCCGCTATCGTTATCTGTAAAAGTGCAAATCAACATGCACTTTAAGGACTTGAGTAATTTTCCGACCGTCTCCAAGTTTAGTTATCTGACAACGCCCATGTTATGGTTCGAGATCGTACGTACATATTTGACCATTGTACTACCAAGTCATGAGAGAATTTCTTGTTTCAGATGATGACAAATCTTCCTGACTCCCTGGACTCGCGGTTCAACTTCTACCTAAATATCTTGCCGATAGTCAATCCCTTGGTCTTTTGGAGTGGCATACTGCTGGGAATGGGACTCCTAGGGTATGCAATTACTAGGGCCACTCTGCATTTGTCCAACAACGCCTGCCGGGCGGCAAACATTTCAGAAAGAAAATATGGCCGGGAAAATGTAAATCAGGTTCCTAGAGGTGGGGCCGCCAATCAAGTTTACAGCCCTTGTGAGATGAAGCTGCTAGGTAACCTTCCGGACGCCAATGTCCACGTTTTAGAACGATCCGTCCAGGACTTAAAATTATGCAAAGTCAATGCAAAATCCACTTATGCCCTGGATATGGAGCCAGCTCTGTTAGACGCCTGCGAGAGCAATAACGTGAAGCACGATTGCGACAATATCACTCCGAGCCGCAAATCCACCACGTCCAGATCCTACGAAAAAGTGGAACACTGCCGTGGCGTCGAAGATATATGCGTCGAGCTCTTTGCCAAAAATCCTTTAGTTGGTAATTTTAAAATGGAAAGCTCTGCTCCACAAAAGCAACAGGTGAGTAAATATCGATATGGGACTGCCTTTGGGCATTTGATTATTATAACGAAGATAAAACAAGAAGGAACTCAATACGCAAACATTGATAAACGTAGGAAATTTTTCTTTATAGTACTAAGTTGCTGAACGCGCTAAACTTAATGAACTGGGCTGCGTCGTCTTCAACGTCTGAAAGAGGCAGCTTGAGGTTGCAGCACTAGGCTGTTGGTGGCAAACTGTGGTAAAAAAATGGAACTCGCGGGGCGCAATAGTTGAAAGCGAAAAAGATAGCGTGGACCGGCCGGGCACTTTATTGAAGTAGTTGACAAAGATAACTAAAATTTAGAGCCTAGCCTTAGCTATGCGAGAGCGCCGATGGAACGCTAGAAGCTGCGGGCGTCGCGAGAGCGGGAGAGCGGGATAGGAAAGGAGTGGAACCCAAACTAAAGAAAAACACTTATTAAATGACAAGAGAGAACAGCCTCGACTATCAGATACCCGTTATTCAGTTAGGGGGAGTGCGACGAAGATGAAGATATGCAGCAGCAAAGCGACTGTTTCTGAGATTGCATGTTCGTCGATTCATTACTATAACTTTTTAATGGATGGTCCGATATGAAATACGACGGAAATTGATAATCAAAAGAAAATACCATTTTCACTTTTGCAATACCTTAAAAAATGTGGGCGCTAGACAGGTTTTAGCGTTATAAGATTTCACATTTCGATTCCGTATTTTTAAACGCAGCGCAAGTTTGTTACGCAGACATGCCACGCCTTTTCTGACGCTCACAAGCCGCCCAAAACTGTGGCTCCAACAGCTTTAGAAAAAATTTTAATTTATTTTCTCGTCAAATATTACTCGTGTATATACTCCTATATTAGATTCGTCGAAAAGTATGTACGAGGGCAGTCCGATAAGTACTTAGCCTCACCGCCCGATGGCGTCACTATCGCAAGAGAAATTTACTATCGTGTAGTACATTATCGTAGACGGCTACTGTCGAAATTTCAGTCGAATCGGACTGGTAGTTTTGTTTTGACTACGTGTGGAATCGGACGTGTCCGCGGATTTTAGAAAAATGGAGAAAGAGCAATATCGGTCTGTGGTTCGATTCTTATTTTTGGAAGGGAAATCGCGCAGCGATATCAAAGAGCGCTTGGATGCTGTG